TCGCACAAACAGCTATTACCGTGATTTTCCGAAAAGGTTAGACAACTGAGGTTACCCACTAATTGTCTCAGACCGCTCGTTTGGTCTGGAGCTCCCTAGGAGGCGTTCTATGGCAGAAATGCTTACATTTTTGAAAATAACAAATCGCGTACTGCGGGAAAGTCTGCACTTTGCGAAGGAACAGAATTACTGTCAGCAATGAGACGAGTTTTTATCAAGAAAATTGTAAGGTCTTTACGAGTTATCAACTGATTATCTGGGATTTGAGACAAAGGACGGTCTGTTGTATGAAAAAATAACAAGGTCAAACAAGTTACTACATTGTGACAGTGATTAAAGAGAAGAATAGACACTGGATTATTTATGTTGCACGGTTGGCAGATGACAAATGGACTTCTGGAATGGCCGATCAGTATCAGCAGGTCACAAGCGATCAGACGAAAAACTCATCTCAAACGAGACTGTCAGCTGAGAGGAAATGAAAACATGACCTGAAACTTATAGGCTAAGTAAGGCATGAGTGCATCGCGATCATTTTGAGTCATCTCCGTTAACGGAGACAATGAAACTTCAAAGAATAAAAGAATTTAATTATATCAATGTACCCTATAATGTATCGTTCCAACTGGATTAACTTTTTTGTGTAAACAATTTTATTTGAATTTTCCCTATTAAAATGCAGCTGGAGTGTATGGTTATGGATGACTGATTGATTTGAATGTCTCTTTCTCTTGATATTCATTTAGTCTGTTGTTTCATAGAATCGAAAATTGGAGAACAGATGCGCGTATTACTCCTCTTGGTTTGTAGGCAAATTTGACATTCCCTTAATCCTAGTCTTCACCGGTGTTTGATGTTACTGCACTTGGATTCAAAGCTGCATACTGTTTTTTCTTGACATTTTCATATTCAGCAGAAAGAAGATTTTTATGGTGCATAATAAAAATTAACTCCTGTATTATGGGTTTTCCTGGGAAAACTGCTAGTTTTCGATACCATCGGTAATAATTCCAATCTCCTGACACTTCTCCGCATTTACATACCGTTTCCTTGCTTTTACTGTCCTATGGGATCATTTAGGCAAGTTCGGCCCCATGGCATTTTACCCCGCGCAGTGCAAGAGATGGATGTAAGACCTCATAGCTATTTTGTGTTGGCGTTTTAATTTTGCATGAAAAAGAATTGTTTATGATTTGATCTTGGAATTTGTTGAAAAAACTGATTGTCTTTTTTTATGCTAACGATCTTCCCAAAATTCAGGTTTCATAGAATATTCGCTTCGACACTCTTAAAAGACTGAGATATTGTCGTGCCCGACACAAGATATGAAAAGCATCAGCAAAATACTTGGCAATGAAAGCGACAGCTCAGGTATTTTGAACGAGGTAGTTTCGCGTCGAAAGTCAAATTTGGTTGTTTGATTCGTTTTCTTGTTCAGGTGTCCGAGGGCAGCGCCCTAAGTTGGAATACCCGCATCAAAGGGTTTATCGTCTGCTTCATCGTTGGCATCTTCCTCTCCGTTCTCGTAAGTGTCGACTTTTGCCTGTTACTGTTTTTACAACGGTTTTGTTCGTTTTTTTTATAATTGCTAGTTTAGGGGTCAGTGTCGATATTTTTTCGTAATTTCATCATGTTTGCCTTACTGTTTTCACTCGGAAGCATCTGTTCTATTTGCAGGTATTTTTTATTCCTTTTAACAATTTCGTATGTTTAAGTAAGTATCGAATGG